TTTAATAACATTTAGGTTATGTTAGCATTAGCACCACAAAGTGACAAATCCACTGTTTGGTTGAGCACAAAAATTATTAAACATTTAATTTCACTTTTTTAATGCTGTCAAGTCAGATACGTTTGTTTAGTAAGTCCTCTAACACTATCATATATCAAAGAATTATAGCTTCCTACCTTAGTTTCGTCAAAAACACTCAAAATATGTTGGATGGTTTTCACTGACCAAATAATTCCAAAACTTACATAATAAAATTGAACTGAGACAATATTTGGTTATGTATATGTATTTTTTTTTTTAATTCAGCTGACACACTTTAAACAAGTTGATGGAGGGATCACACAAGTTAGATGCCCAGCATTTTGTTTCATATTTTTAAGAGTGATAATTTTACAAAACAAGCAAAGTAAGAATGATCAGTCTCAGCCAGCTAAGGCAATCATATAAAATGCTATTATAAAATCTAAATACAAAAAAGAAAATATTACATATTTAACATAAAGGCAGAATGAAACAAATGTGACTGAGATGTTTAATTGTAATTCATCTGGTTGACTTCTGGCTCTCTGGTTCCTGGCAGACTTTGGTTTGAGAATGATTTTTTTTTTTAGTTCTCCAGTTGGACCGATGTTGTTTGGGCTCTCACCACCAACTCCCTGACATCTTACTCTCCGTGCACACTTTGCAGCACACTGCTCATCACTCACAGCTGACCGACTCTGGGACACAAGCACAAATTCTGCAAAACAGCTATGAGATTTTCCTCCTGCCACTGGACCCAAGCACTTTGCAGATTGAATAAGGAAGAAATTCAGGTAAACAGAAATTGCTCAAAGCTAAGTGGGTAATTTTGTTTAACAGTGAGTCAAAGAATCTTAGCAGGGTCAGGGTACTACTCTACTACTGGTTATATGTGTTTAGTCTCACTTTTTGGTTTGCATAACATTTCTCATATGGTTGAATGTCACATTTCCCATGTTAAAAGGGTAAAAACTCTGATGTAGGACTACATGTGGGGGGGAGAAGGATATGAAACATTTATTTAAAATGTGACAAATTGTCAGATTCCAGCAGTTTTTTGACCAAGACATTAAAGAAAATGGAGGAAAACAGTAAGTTAGATAATCAGGATATTTCTAGACCTAGTGTTGATTCAATTTTTTTGAATTAAATGGTAATTTCTTTAAAAAAAAAAAAGTCTACCTGTTAGAGAGAGCTGTACATGCTTAGATTACGTTTTTTTTTTTTCTTATACTGGATCTGTGATGTCAAAGACAGAATAAATATTAATATGGTCATTTTTGAGTCAAAGCTCTGGATGTGAGCACTGAAGACCCACCCACTTGCTGTCAGAACATTCTGTTTGCAAGGGACAGCCAATCACAACAAAGCTGGCTTAAAGGGAAAGGAATCAAAACAGGCTGTTTGAGGCTGCACAAAGGATCAGTGTCAGGTAAATAAGGCTTTTTTTCCAACTGTGAATCATGCAATGCTGCTGTCGTAAAGCACGTGA